CGCCGGCTTCGTCGCCGTCCTGCGCGAGGACCGTGAGGTCGTAGGTCACCTCGACGCCCTCGTCGAGGCGCCGGCGGCCCGCGAGCGCCGCGAAGCTCAGCGCCACGGCCGCCGTGGCCTCGTCCGCGCCGGCCGCGAGGAGGATCGCGGACGCGAGGACGGCCGCCTGCGCCTCCGCGTCCGCGAGCGAGAGGCCGGCGAGCTCGAGGGCGCCGCGGACGACCGTGCGCCGCGTGGCCGTCGGCGCGGGCGACGGCGCCGCCGTCGGCTTCGCCGTCGGCGACCGCGTCGGCGGCGGCGCCGTGGGCCGCGGCGTCGGACCCGACGCGTCGGCGGGGTCGGAGAAGCCGTCGACGTAGCAGGGGCACCTACGGCGCGACGGGTTTCGCGAACGTCGCTCGACGCGTCGCCCGCGCCGCGGCGCGCCAGAGGTCGTAGTTGCGCGTGACGCCGTCCTGCGTCGTCACCTCGTACCAGTCCTGGTCGCAGCCCGAGTAGTAGGACACGCACTCGTCGTAGGTCACGGGCCCGCCGTCGTCGCTGGGGCCGAAGCAGCCGACGATGAAGGGCGGCTTCTCCTGGACGTGGTGGTGGTAGACGTCCACGCCGCCCGAGTCCGGCGTCGGCCCGAAGTGCGCGCCGCACGCGTCGAGGTCCTCCGGGTGGACGTCCGTGTCCTCGTAGCTCCCGAAGATGGGCGTCGACGCGTCGTCCGTCGCCGCGCCGACCTGCGTGCTGTGGCCCGAGAGGCTGTCGTCGTAGAGGCAGCTCAGGCGCTCGTGGTAGTGGCTGCGGGGGGGGACGGGGCGTCGGGGCGCGTCGGACGACGACGCGGGCCGCCGACTACTCTCTCGTGTGCCCGCCGCACTCGTCGATGAGCGAGATGTAGTTGCCGCTTGCGTCGTAGCGGGGCAGCTCGACGCCGCAGGCGTAGCCGACCATGGACTCGGCCGTGACCGTGTCGATGCCTACCCGAGCGCGTCATCCGTTTCGGCGGTCGAAACCCCGGGACATTCGTCGCGGCCGCGGGACGCCGGTCGCCGCCGCCCGGCACGTAGCCGTCGGACGGCGTGGCGCAGCCGAGCGCCTCGAGGATGAAGTCCTGCGCGGACGTGAACCCCGCTTCGAAGGGGCCGTAGATGTCCTGGTCCGCGGCCCCGTCGGACGTCGTCATGTCCTCCTTGCCGGCGATCGTGGCGACCGTCGTCCCGCCGACTCTCCCGAGCATCGCCCCCGCGTGCGGCGACGACGACGACGGCGTCGCGCCGCCGGCGTTGTCCGTGCCGCCCATCTCGCCGTCGGGCGGCATGCCGCCGCCGGAGGGCGGCGGGCCGCCGCCGGGCGGCGGGCCGCCGCCGCCGGACGCGCCGGACGAGTCGTGCATGCGCGCCACGGGCTTGCGGCCGAGGACGAAGGCGCCGTCGCGCTCCGAGAGGCCCAGGATCGCGTGGCGGCGGTTCCGGTCGCCCTTGGAGCCGGGCGCGCCGGCCTCGGCGAAGGCGACGAGCGCCGCAAGCGCGAGGGAAGACACCGAAGATGCACGCATCGGCCGCTCCTGGAAGTTTCATTAGAGGGATCAACATGAGGATGCAGGCCAACTCAAGCTCCTTGAGGCGATTGCCGCCCTCGACTGCGCGCGCTCTGCTCGCTCTCCGCGCGCGCGGCCTCGACCCATCGCCGCCATGGGCGCCGACGAGACGCAGGAGGAGCAGATCGCGCGGCACCTCGCCGGCGACGTGCACGACTCCGACGTCGCGAGCGACGCGGACTCGTCGAGCGACGACGACGACGACGCGTCGACCTCGTCGGTGGAGGTGCTGAGCAACGCGAACGGCGCCGTGCCGACGGCGACGGCCGTGCGCTTCCGGCGCAGGAACCCGAAGCGGCCCAACACGCAGTCGCACGCGCGCTACGAGAAGTACAAGTCCGCGACGACGGTGCAGCAGTTCCTCGACCGCGGCGGCACGCGCGCGGACCTGCGCAACGACGTCGACAAGGGCTTCGCGAAGCTCGGCAAGGCCGCGCGCCGCGACTTCGACGACGACTCGGAGCCCGAGGCGCCCGCGCCGAAGAAGCGCCGGGCTCCGAGCCGGAAGCCCGCCGCGAAGGCGCCGTCGCCCGCCGCGAAGGCGCCGTCGCCCGCGAAGCGCGCGAAGCCCGCCGCCGCGTCGCCGCCGAGGTCGCCGAAGGACGACCGCGTGGCGCCCGCGGAGGTCGCGCACATGGTCCAGTTCTTCCTCTGCCAGCTGCGGTGGCAGTACGGCACGATCGTCGCGCCCGGCGGCGGCTTCGCGGCGTTCGACGAAGCGCTCGCCGCGGCGGACGCGTCGCAGGGGCCGGAGGACGTGGCGTCCTGCGGCGACCTGATGAACGCGTTCCTGCGGGGCCCCGCCCTCGGCGACCGCTGGGTGCCCTGGCACACGGTGACCTGCGAGCAGGAGCGGTTCTTGATGACGGAGCTGCGGTCCGCGCCGGACCTCGACGACCGGGAGAAGTTCGTGCTCGCGACGGCCTTCTCCGCGAGCCGCTGGTGCCCGCTCTGGCGCGACGTCATCCTGCCCTACTTCTCCAAGGCGCGGGACGCCGCGGGCCTCTACGCGGACGACGGCGAGCGCCGGGGCCCGCGGTGCCTGCGGCCCCGCGAGGCCTTTTGCGCGGACGGCCCCGTGCGCGCGGCGGCCGCGGCCTTCCGGGACCGGGGCAACAAGCTCCACACGCGCGCCTTCAACTCCTACCCGCAGCGCGGCGACGGCGGCGCGAACTACTGCGACTACATCATCCACCGCCACGCGCACTTTGCCGAGATCGGCCTCGCGGCCTACGATTTGGTGGCGGCGCCGGGCGGCGTGTCGCTCGCGGCGCTGGACGCGTGCTACCGGGGCTTCGACCGCATCGGGCCGACGATGTCCAAGGTGCTCCTCGTGACGAACCACCTCTGGCGGCCCCACCTCAACATCCTCGGCGACGACTGCGAGGTCGGCGACGGCGCGGACGAGGCCTTCTCCTTCCTCTACGGCGCGCGCGGCGGCGGCGACGCCGCGCGGAAGCGGCGCCTCCGCCACCTCTTCGACCACCTCAACTCGCCGGCGCTCGACGCCGCGGAGCCGCGGTTCCGGCCCATGATCGCCTGGGTCGCGGAGCGCACGCGCGCGAAATTCCCGGACATCCCGGCGGCCGCCATCGCGGGCGCCATGACCATCTACGACCTCCAGGTCCAGCTCTGCGAGTGGCGCAAGTTCCGCAAGAACGTCGACAAGCGCCGCTCCGTCGCGCGCGGCGTCGTGCTCTAGTACGCTGTGCTTTGGTCGTCGGGCGTGCCTCGTGGCGCAGGAGAGTCGCAAATTCGCCATGGTAGGATTCATCGTAGGACTCGTCGTCTGACTCGTACGCCTATTCGTCCGGCTCGCTCAAAATTCGAGTCAAAAAAACTCGCAAACGATCCGCCGAATCGTCTGAAGCCGCCCGTGTGCGTCTCATTCTGCAAACCCTCTCGCACGGGCGGTCGCTCATTCGTTGTGCCAGCATGAGGGTCATCGTCCAGAACACGACTTATAGCGGTGGGGTGCTGAACGGCCAGTCCGGCAATGTCGGCGGCTTCGTGGGAGACCGGGTCGTGGTCAAGCTCGACGTGGGAGACCGCGTGGTCAAGCTCAAGTGCGAATGCGTGCGCAAGGAGGGCGGCAACGCGCTCTGGGCCGGTGCGCCCGCCGACCAGGACGCGTTCGCGGGCGGGGACTTCTTCGCGGGCCTCGCCAACTTCGCCGCCGTCGCCGCCGCGGAAGGTCTGCGGGAAAATCTGGCAGACCGCTTGGCGGGGAATCTGGCAGACCGCTTGGCGGGCGGCCGCGGGCCTGGTCCCGCGGCCTTGCGGGCGCGCGAGGATTCCGCCGCCGTCGAGCGCCAGCTCCGGTCGCGGCTCGCCGCGGCGGACGCGGAGCTCCGACGCGAGCGCGACGCGGCGCGCGGTCTCGCCGCCGACCTCCGGGCGGCGCGCTCCGCGTCCGTCGCCGACGCCGGCACTCTCCTCCGCGGCCTCGACCTCGCGTCCTACGACGAGCGGGGCCTCGCGGACCTCGCCGGCGCGCTCGCCTCCGCGACCGCCGCGGTGTCCACGGAGACGGTCCGCCGCGAGCGGGCGGGCGGCGACTCGCGGACCTGTGTCTGCTGCCTCGACCGCCCCCGCAACATGGTGCTCCTCGACTGCATGCACGTCGTCGCCTGCGAGGCGTGCGCGCCCCGCCTCCGCGAGTGCCCGATGTGCCGCGCGCCCGTCGCGCAGACGCGCCGCATCTTCCAGTGAAGCCGGCGCCGCGGAACCTCGCGCGCCTCTCTAAGCCCATGGTATCCTATCGGCGCGGGCCCCAGCGACTCCTCGGAGATGGCCTAAAAAAGTGCAACTTGCACGGCATCATCAGCGATTGAAGCAGTGGCAAGCCATCGTCGCCACCTGCGCCGCCCGAGGATGAGCGCCTGGGCGACCATCTGGAAGCGGCCGAGCTTCCAGCGCAAGTTCACCCTCGTCGTCTCGGGCCTCACGGCGTTCTACTGCGTGCTCGAGGCCGACTACACCGACGCCGCGGGGAAGGAGCACTGCTTCACCTGGGTCCAGGCCTACTACCGCAAGGAGGTCGTCGCGCCCGCGGCCGCGGCCAAGGCGTGGGTGAAGGCCCAGTGGTCATGAGCGGCTTCCCCGCCGACGCGCCGCCGCGGCGGCCGTCCATGGTCGACGTGCTGCGGCGCGGCGCCGCGGGCGCCAAGGGCGGCGTCGGCGCGCGCGCGCTCCGGGACCTGTCCTGGCGCCAGACCTACGCCGGCGCGGCGACCTACGAGCTCGACCTGGCCTGCGGCGCGACGCTGTCCCTGCGCCAGACGAAGCGGGGCGAGCTCGAGGGCCTCGGCACGGGCGGCACCGTCTGGCCCGCGGCGCACGTGCTCGCGCGGCACCTCGAGCGGCGATTCGCCGGTGCCCGAACGCCCTGGTCCGCGCTCGACCTCGGCGCGGGCACGGGCGCCGGCGGCCTCGCGGCGGCGGCGCTCGGCGCGGAGGCCGTCGCGCTCACGGACCTCGAGCCGGTGCTCTGGCTCGCGCGCGAGAACGTCGAAAGGAACCGGCGCCTGCTCGGCGGCGCCGCCGTGTCCGTGGCGGCCATGGACTGGGCCGACCCGCGGGCGAGCGACGCCTTCGCCGATCGCGACGCCTACGACGTCGTCCTCGCGTCCGAGTGCGTGCTCCCGCAGCTCTACCCGCTCGGACCGTTGGTCGCGTGCCTCGACGCGTGCCTCGGCGACGGCGCCCTGGGCCTGCTCGCCGTCGAGCAGCGCACCTTCCCGGCCTTCGACCCGAAGGCGCGCTTCGCCGAGCTCTGCGCCGCGCGGGGGCTCGCGGTCGCGACGGTCCCGGAGTGTCGATTGGACGCGAAATACCGCGCGGACGACATCGAGCTCTGGGAGGTGACGCGCGGCGCCGCGCCGCCGGCGCCGGCGGCGGCCCTCGTCGTCCGAGCCTGGGGACGCGGGACGACGGTGCTCGACGTCGCGGGAGAGGTCGTCACGTTGGAGGAGGACGCGGCCGGCGGCATCGGCGCGGTGACGTGGCCGTCGGCGCTGGCCTGCGCGCGCTGCTTCCTCGGCGACCTGTTGCCGCTGCGCGTCGGGCCGGGCGCGAAGATCCTCGAGCTCGGCGCGGGCACGGGCCTGCTGTCCGTCGTCCTCGCGAAGCTCGGCTGCGACGTCCGCGCGACGGACGTCGACCGCCACGTCGGCCGCCTGGCGAGGAACCTCGCGGCCAACGGCGCGTCGGCAAAAGCGGCGACGCTCGTCTGGGGCGCGCCGCTGCCCGCGGACCTGCCGGCCGTCGACGTCGTCGTCTGCTGCGACTGCGCGTACGACTCGACGGTCGTCGACGCGCTCGCGGCGACCGTCGCGGCGCTCTGGGCGCGGCCGGAACCGCCGGCGCACCTCGTCGTCGCCAACGAGCGGCGCACGTCCCTCGAGCTGCTGCTGCGCGCGCTCGCGAAAAGAGGGGCCGCGGCGCCGCTCCTCGTGCCCCTCCTCGACGCGGGCGCGGACCTGTGGCGCGTCGACTGCGCGCCGCCCGCGGGCCAGCCGCCGCCCGTCGCCATCTACACGTCGGCGCCCCCGCCGGCGGACGATTAGGAGAAGCTAAAGGCCGGCGCCGCGTACGCGTCCGCGGGCTTCGGCGCGAGCCAGTCGATGTCGACGCGCGTGACGCGCGGGTTCTCCGCGAGGACCGTGCGCGTCACGGTCTGGGCCGTGGGCACGTCGTGCTCCGGCGCCTCGTTGCTCACGTAGTAGCCCACGCGGAGGAACTCCTGGCCCCGGTAGGCGCACGCGATGAGGACGACGGTGACGCCCAGCAGGTCGCCCGGCGGGATCGCGGCGGGGTTCGGCGCGTCGCCGCTCAGGACGAACTTGTTCACGCCCACGGGCACGGGGCCGACCTCGACCTCCGTGAGGAGCTGGTCGTAGGAGCTGTCGTCCGCGGAGCCGACGTAGACCATGCGCCACTCGAGGTCGTCCGGCAACGCCGCGGTGCACTCGAAGGTGATCTCGAAGTCGAGGGGCGACGCGAAGGTCGCCGGGTTCGCCAGCGCGACGACGTTCGTCACGTTCACGGGGCTCGGCTGCGTCGGGCGCTGCTGCTGGGGTTGCTGCTGGGGCGGCGGCGGCGGCATCGCGACCGGCTGCTGCGGGTCCATGAGCATCGGCGCGACGAATGGTTTTGGACGCGCGGTCGTGCGACGCGTCGGGCGGCGTGGAATCTGGCGCTACGGGAACCGTCGGCGTCGTCGTTCGGCTTGCGCGACAGACACGGCGTGCAGCTCGACGCGTTCAAAGCGGCTCGGGCCCGCGCGGCTCGCTCGCCCTCGCTCGAGGTGAGCGCGAGGCAAAACGCTCCGGATCGGCGCCTCTTGAGGTGTACCCGCACGCGCGCGCCGCCCATACCCACCGCCTCGTCGCAACTAGCACACGATGGACCTCGTCGAAGACTGCTACGGCTACGCCTGCAAGGGCCCCGTCGCCGCGGCGATCATCCTCTGCCTCGTCGCGGCGCCCATCGGCCAGGGCAAGAGCCTGGTCAAGGCCTGGTGGAACGAGTGCTACGGCGCCGCGATCATGATCGCCGCGACGTTCAGCCCCGGCAAGTGGTGGGGCGTCGCCGGCACGGTGCTCGAGCCGGCGATGCACCCGGCGCTCGCGGCCATCGACGCGATCGTGCCGCTCGACTGGGTCCGCCGCGGCGTCCGACGACGGGATCGCGCGTCGCGGAGCGCGACCGTGGACCCCAACATCATAGGTCTGCCACTGGCTCGGCGTCGCCGCCGCCGACTACTCCTGCGGCGGCCCGCACGTCAACCCCGGCGTGTCCATGGCCATGTGCTGCATCGGCAAGATCCCCTGGGCGCAGTTCGTCACGCACGTCGCGGGCCAGATGCTCGGCGGCGTCGTCGCGTTCCCGGCGCTCCAGACGCTCGCCGCGCGCCTCGGCTGGACGCCCCTCGGCGGCCCCGCGGTCGACGCGGCCATCGCCGGCGACGCGCTCCGGGAGGCCGCGCTCCACAGGGCAGGAAAAGGGTGATTCAACGTCGCTTCAACGTGAGTGTTCCGCGCGCGCGCGTTTCGGAAACAGCACCCACGCTTCGAGAGCGCTCCGAGAGATGATCGCTCGTCCAAAAATCAGCCGAAACGAGCGGAAAACGACCGAGATAGGAGCCTTTGAAGTTGGGAATTTCGCACCCTTTTCCTGCCCAGGTGCTCCACGAGTTCGGCGCGACGCTCCTGCTCTGCCTCGGCGTCTTCGCGATCTGCCTCGAGTCGCCCTTCAAGGACATCTACCCGCTCAAGATCACCTGCGTCGCGGCGCTCATCCGCTTCCTCATCGTCTACCTCGGCGCGGCCGGCCCGGCGATCAACCCCATGCTCGCGACGACGTGGGCCCTCTACGCGACGGGCTCCTTCCCGACCTTCTACCAGCACTACCTCGTCTACTGGGCCGCGCCCCTCGCGGCCGCCGTCACCGCGGGCTTCGTCTACGCGCTCCTCAAGAGCGGCGCGACGTTCTTCGGCGTCGCGCTCCGCGGCGGCGCCAAGAAGGCCGCCCCCAAGAAGAAGAAGGCCTAGGGCGCGACAGGCACGCTGAGGATACTAAGATCAAGAGCAAAAGATGTAGACAAGCGCCGGCCGGGCGGGCGTCCCGAGGGGGACGGCCGCGGGGGCGGAGCGAGCGGGCGACGGGGCCGGCGGCGACGCGACGGCGGCGGGGCGAAAGCCCGGCGGCGACGCGGCGGCGGCGGCGGGTCCGTCAGCCCCGAGAGGTCCCGCGAAGGGGGGCAGGTGTGCGGTGGCGTCCTCGACGGCGAAGCGTCCTCGACGGCGAAGACGGCGGCGGCGGCGGCGGGCGAAACGGCCCGCCGGCGTCGGCGCGACCCTCGAGGGCGAGGAAGCTGCGGGAGTCGTCGGCGTCGGCGCCGGCGCGGCCCTAGAGGGCGAGGAAGCTGCGGGAGTCGTCGGCGTTGGCGCCGGCGCTGGCCCAGGGCCCCGGCGCGTCCTTGGGGAGCTCGGCCTCGGCGGGCGCGCCGCCGCCGGGCCCGTGCGCGATCTCGTAGCGCGCGTGGTAGGAGCTGCCCTTGGCGCCCATGCTCCCCGGCGTCGACTGGGCCGTGCGGAAGCCCCGGTCCGTGAGGTGGATCCAGACGTTGCCGTTGCGCGCGGAGAGCGCGCCGCCGGCGACGGAGAGGCGCCAGTTGCCCGGGAGCGCGCCGTCGGCCTCGCCCGCGCGGATGGGCCGCGCCACGGGCTCGAGCTTGGCGTAGTGCTTGGGCCACTCGGCGTCCCAGTCCTGGGCCGTGTCCATCCACGTCGGGGGCGTGCCCGTGAACGGCGTCGCGCCGTCGACGCCCTTCTTGCTCCACCGGAACCATCCGTTCGACGCGCCGACGAGCTCGAGGGCGATGGCGTCCCGCGCGTGGTAGAGCAGCGCCGACTCGCCGCCGGCGACGGCGCTCAGGCCCTCGAACTGGGGCACGACCTCGTAGGTGATCTCGACGCGCTTGACGCGCAGCACCCGCCACGCGGACACCTCGGCCTCGAGCCGGTCCAGGCCGAAGAGGCCCCGCAGGTCCGCCGCGGGGCGCACGGCGCTGAGCCAGCGCTCCGCGGCGACGCGCTCGAGCACCTTGTCGTCGAGGCAGAGCTTCGCCGCGCCGGCGCAGGAGGCGGCGACGTGCGCCACGTCGACGGCGCGGAGGTAGCCCAGCACGGTGCAGGGGTCCTCGGCGATGGTGAAGATCTTGAAGGAGTTCCTCTGCCGCCCGTCGAGCTTCCGCCGGCGCCGCGTCGCGACGACCATCGCTCCCGGCCGGACAGCCGGGTCGTAAACCTTTCGTCGTCGGCCCGACGCAGCCGGAGAGCTGTGGCAGTGGGCGATCGCTGCACTTGCAGACCTCGACCAGATGATACTGCCGTAGGCTTTACTCGAGACAATGGGCAGCCTTTGAGCGCCATGAAAGCGTCAGCGCCGTTGATCCTCGGCTTCAATTTCCTCTCGACGGTCGTCCTGATCAACCTGAACAAGTGGGTCTTCGCGCGCGTGCACTTCGGCTACCCGGCGGCGCTCTCGAACGTTCACTACGTCGTCAATTACGGGGTGCTCGCGGCGCTGCGCTCCATCAACCCCGCGTGGGTCCCGGCGCTGGAACCGACGAAAGCCGCGCCGTGGCGCGACGCGAACTTCGTCGCCATGGCCGTCCTGCTCGGCGCCGTGACGCCGCTGAACAACATGAGCCTCAAGCTCAACCCGCTCGGCTTCTACCAGATCGCCAAGCTCGCCGTGACGCCGCTCGTCGTCGTCCTCGAGTACGGCCTCGACGGCAAGCGCATCTCGCCGCGCCGCGCCGCCGCGCTCTGCGCCGTCTGCGCCTTCGTGCTCAAGATGCCGCGGCGCGGCGGCGAGGCGTCGGCGACCGCCGCGGGCGTCTGCGTCGTCCTGCTCTGGGTGCCGCTGCGCGGCGCGGCGTCCGTCGCCTTGATTCGCGCGCGCCACCGTCGCCGCCGCCCCGCGCAGCGCCGCGGCCTACAAGGTCCAGTTCGGCCGCCTGCGGCGGCGCCTCGGCAACTGCTCGACGCTCGCTCTCATGTACGCGCTCTTCCCCTACGCCATCGGCGTCCAGTTCGCGCTGACGCCCTTCGTCGACCCGCCGGGCGTGCTCCAATACGCCTGGACGGCGCGGTCCCTCGCGCTCGTCCTCGCGTCGGGCCTCGGCGCGTTCTTAGTCAACTACAGCGGCTTCCTCGTCGTCGGCCACCTCGGCGCGCTCGCGCACGTCCTCCTCGGCCAGGCCAAGGCCGCGGCGACGCTCCTCGCGGCGGCGGTCATCTTCGCCGCGTCCTACTCGCCCGCGGAGGTGCTCTGCGCCGCGGGCGCGATGGCGAGCATCTGCGCGTACGCGGCCCTCACGTGATCTTGCCTTAGCCGAGTGCGCTCGCGCGCAGCTCGGCGGTGGAGGTCGCGCGCGCGGGGCGCGTCGCGACCGCGCGTCGCCCTCGGAGAGGGCGGTCTTCGGCGGTGGAGGTCGCGCGCGCGGGGCGCGTCGTGACCGCGCGTCGCCCTCGGAGAGGGCGGCCCTTCGGGGGGACCGCGCGCCGCCCTCGGAGGGGGCGGCCTTCGGGGGGCGCTCGCGCGCCGCCCGGCCGCCCCCGCGCGTCCGAGGGGCCCTCAGCACGTCTTCGTCGGCCCGAGGAGGCGCTTGCGCGCCAGGCCGAGGGCCTCGCCGATCATGGGCAGCCTGTCGCAGCCGCTGGCGAAGAGGAGGAACGCCGCGCAGAGCCACTTGGAGACGTCGGCGTCCCTCGGCGGCCACGCGGGCGCGGGCGACGGCCGGCCCGGGGGCGGCGCGTCCCGGGGCCCCGGCGCCGGCGAGGACACGACCCGCGGCTGCGGGCCCGCCGGGCACCAGGTGCCGCCGCACTCGTGCTCGCAGCGGTCCCCGGGTTCGAGGCCAAAGGGCGCGCTCGAGCAGTACCTCTGGAAGGTGACGCCGCCGCAGGTCTCGCAGGACGCGTCCGACGAGCAGCACCCGCCGTCGGCCGCGACGAGGGCGAGCGGCACGAGTGCCGCCCAGGCCCAGGCCATCGGGAAGAACCGCAGTGGTTCTTATTATCGAAGCCCGGTGAACACACCACCCCTGCCCTCTCTTTTTCAAATAAGTGAAGAAGTGAATGAAGGGTAAATGTTTCAGGGTGCCCTCGGCTCTTGACCGACTTCTCTTCGGCGGCTTCGTCGTCGGCTGCTCTGTGACACGATGGCGGCCACGTTCGACTGCGCGAATCTCGCCTTGCCAGACTACTGCAGTTTATCGGTGCGTAAACACCTCGCCACATCGGGCTGCCTTTCGCTTCTTTCGCGCTGCCCGCTTCTTTCGGGTCGCGCCGCCGACGCACCGATGCCCGCAGGCGCTCTGCGGCTACACGTCGCCGAAGGAGGACACCAAGTGGTGGCGCGTGCGGCCGCGTCCGCGCGCGATGACCCGGCGCGCGATGACTCGCGCGGCGTCTCGTAGGAAGGTGGAACCGCCGCCGAGCCCGACGAGGCGCGCGGACGACCGCAAGGTCGTGGAGCCCAACGCGGCAGCGGGGGTCTACGAGGCCAAGGGCTCGATACCGCGCACGAAATCGGAGACCTGGCACGCCGCGAGCCCCGACGCGGAACCGCGGAGCCTGCCGTGACTCCCGTAACTCCCTGTGTCGAGCGCGCGTGTCGGAAGGAACACGACTCCTAGGGGAGCTCCCTAGACGCGCGCGAGTGGTGAGCACGCGTGTCGGAAGGAGCACTCTACGGAGAGGGGCAGGCGCCTCTAGACGCGCGCGAGCGTCCCGAGGGACCTAGTAGCCCATGGGGACCGCGTTCAGGACCTGGACGCCGCCGCGGTCCGCGAGGGCGCTCTTCGCGCCCCAGGCGTCGGGCAGCGCCCAGAAGCCCGCGCCGTCGCGCGCCGGCGCGAGCTTCCCGTCGAGCTTCCCGTCGTCCTCGAGCTCCTGGAGCGCGTCGTAGTCGCCGAGGTACGCGCCCCCGGCGAGGAGCGCGGGCAGCGGCGCGCCCGGCGCCGCGGCGTCGAGCGCGCCGCGCCGCTCCGGCGACACGTCGACGTAGACCATCTCGTAGCGCTTCCGCTTCGCCTCCAGTAAATTGACGACGCGGCGCTCGTGCGCCTCCGCCCGCGCCGTCGCCTTCGTCGACGACGAGTAGAGCACGAGGAACGCGTCCTCCAAATCGTCGCGGTCGACGCCGCGGACGTCGGCCCCGGCGTCGCGGAGGCCGAGCATGGCGACGCGGTAGTCCGCGGCCTCGGCGACGAGCGCGGCCTGGTCCGCGTCGGCGACGTGGCGGTGCCGGTCGCGGTACTCGCCCACGGCGACGATGACGCGCAAATTCGCGTCGACGGCCGACGCCAGCGCGTCCCGCGACGTCGCGAGGAAGGGACCCGCGAAGGCGCCGGCCTTGCGGAGCGCGGCGCTCAGCGCGACGAGGCAGCGGACGACGGCGCCGAGATCCTTGAGCTCCGCGAGGTCCACGGTGTCGAACAAATCCGCGCCGGCGACGCCTCTGTCGCGGCAGAACGCGAGGAAGCGCGCGATGTTCTCGACGCGCCGGTAGGGCACGCGGCCCTCGTAGGGCGGTTTGATGTCGTCCCCCGGCGCGATCGCGGCCGCGAGGTCCACGAGGAGCACGCCGTCCCGGAGCTCCTCGCCGAAGCGCCGCGAGAAGACCGTGCCCGTGACCTGCTCGACCCAGTGCTGCGCCTGCGACGCGCGACGGGGTCGGCGCTCCGCGCGCGCGTCTTCCTTCGGACGCCGCGCCGCGCGAGCGCCTCGGTCCGCGTGTCGTACTTGGCCGCGGCGCGCGCCGACAGGTCGCGGTCCGGGGCCGTGTCGCCGCCGCGGCCGACGCCGCCGCGCCCGAGGTCCGCGGACGTCTCGACGCCGGGCTTGAGGCAGTCGAAGGGCACGAGGCCCTGGTCCGCGCCCTTTTGCACGAGGACCCAGCCGTCGTTCTCCTCGCAGTAGGCCCAGGCGCCGCGCGCGAGCTTGACGGACACGACGTCGCCGGCGGACACCGTGAGCTCGTCGTCGTCGTCGGCGTCGTGGTCGCGGACGACCGTCGCGAGCGCCTCGGACGCCATGTCGGCGCCGCCCTGCGCCGCGGCGACGGTCGCGAAGGACGGCGCGTAGGCCGGGTCCGCGGGGCCCCGCGGCGCCTCGAGGGCCTTGAAGCCGCTGGGGACGCGCGGCGGGCTCGCCTCGAGCGCCGCGACGGCCGCGGCGACGGGCACCGGCGGCCGGCGCGGCGCCGCGGCCGGCGACGCGAGCAGCGCGTCCGGCGACGCGACGGCGACGCGGAACTTGCCCGGCGTCGTCGTCGTCGGCGGCGGCGGCACGGCGTCGCGGAACTTGCCCGGCGTGGCCGTCGGCGGCGGCGGCGGCCGGCGCGCCGCGGCGATGGCGGAGACCCAGGCGTCGCGGTCCGCGGCCGACGCGGCGCGCAGCTTGATGGCGCCCTGCGGCACCGAGAGGCTGAAGACGCCGTCGTCGTCGCCGCCGTCGTCCGGGCCGCAGGCGTCGAGCTTGTTCAAGTTGATGGCGCAGAGCACGCCGCGGCCGGGCCGCGCGTCGGCGTAGCAGCTCAGCGTGTGGCCCTTGAGCGCGAAGTAGCGGCGCTTCCAGTTCTGGCGGAGCTTGCCGCGCTTCTGCAGGTAGCCGCTGAGCATCGTTGCGTTGCTGGCACGGCACGGTCGCTGCGGTGCACGCGTCGACGCGCAACGAGGCGAGGCGCAGGACTTGCGCGGAATCGATGCTCTGTGGGTTTCGGGGCTGTTTGGCCTGGGGTCGTGAGAGCCCTGACGGTGTAGTACGGCGCGCGCAGCTTTCGCGCGAGCACCGCGTCGTCCTAGTTCTTATTCGGGGGAGCGCGAGGCGGTGGGAGGCGTGGCGCGGCGGGAGGCGTCCGCCTCTCGACGCCGTCCGCGACCGGTCGCGCACGCGTGGCGCCGCCGCCGGCGTGCGGCTCGTCGTGGAGGCGGGCGGGAAGTGTACATGTGTGGTCCTAGGCTTACTCGGGGCGCGCGCGCGGGGATGTGTCAGGCGAGGCGCCGCGCCGGCGGCGGCCAGCGCGTGCGCGCCAAGGTGCTCTTCTGTGGCATCTCGGTGAGACCTAAGCACCGCTCGGCGATGCGGAGTGCGGGTCTCGGGTACGCGGCCGACGCGAGCGACGCGACGATCGTCGTCTCCTCGGTGCCGCTCAAGTTCGTTTGCGATTTCCTCGTGGCGATCTCCGTCGCGCGCCACGTCGTCTCGGTCGAGTGGCTCTATGAGAGCGCCCGCATGGGCCGCGCCGCCGACGAGGACCGCTGGGCCAGGACACGACCATGCGAGGTTCGGGTATCGCGTCCAAGTTAAGAGGATTCGCAACGAACTAGCCCGCGCGCACCGACGCGTCGCCGACGCGCGAGGCCCCGACGACGGCCGCGCGGCCGGCGTCGTCGACGCGCGCGCGCGCTCCGCGGCTTCCGCTTCGGGCCGATGGTGCCCTGGTAAACGAGGTTGCTGGCTGCCGGCGCCCGCTCTCCGACGTGCCGGCGAGCGCCCAAGCAAATCGCACACCGTCGACGCGCGCGCGCCATTTCTGGTGCGCGGTCGCCGGCGATCCGTCCGCTCGAGCGCCTGCTCGACGCAAGGCGCGCGCGCTCCGACGCGCGGCGCCCCGGGACCTCCGAGCACCCGCGCTCGGAGCGTGCCCGTCGCCGGGACGCGCCCTTTCCGGTGCGCGTCGCCCGGCAACCACACCCATGGATCCCTTCTGCGTGGTCGTGCGCTGCGAGGCGGCGCCGGCCAAGGGGCGCGAGCAGGAGCTCGTCTTCGAGGCGCCGCAGACGGTCGCGGCGGTCGCCGAGCGGGCGCTCGCGCGGCTCGGCGGCGGCGCGCCGCCGCCGCTGAGCTGCCTGGCCGCCTTCCGCCGCGCCGGCGCGGACACGCAGGGCACGCACGTCGCCTTCGACGCGACGATCGACGCCGACTGCTGCGTCGTGCTGCGGCCGCTCGTCGCCGGGGGCGGCGACGCGACGCTGGTCGTCATGATCGCGGACGCGTCCGGCGCCGTCTTCGCGGTCAAGGACCAGGCCCTGCCCGGCGTCGGCGACGACGAGGAGCTCATGCAGAGCGTGGCCCTCTTCGTCGTCGAGGAGACCTTCAAGGACCACGCCGCGGACCACGGCTGGGCGTCGCGGAGCCTCCTGAACCGCGTGTCGACCGAAGAGTACTCGCTCGCGGTGCGCGTCGTCACGGCGGACAACGTCGCCCCCGGCGCGCCGCCGTCGGAGACGAAGCTCAGCATCGACGTCGGGTCCTACGCGCCGCGGGCCTTCGCGGAGGTGGGGCTCGACACGACGCTCGAGCAGGTTTGCCGCGCGGCGTTCGGAAGCGCGGGAACCGGCGACCGCGTCGTCGTCCGCGTGGACATCGACGGCCTCGTGGCCCCCGACTGGACGTCCGTGGACGTGTCCCTGGTCTGCGGCCCCCACGCGCGGCACCGGCCGCCGCGCGCGGAGGACGTCGTCGAGGCGCGGTTCAACGTCACCGACGCGGAGCTCCGCGGTACGTCCGCCGCGGCGCTGTTGGACCGCCTGCTGCGGTCGCGCTACGCCGAGGCGTCGGCGCTGAGCCAGGCCCACTTCCGCGAGAGCAGCTGCCCCGCGCGCCTCGACGCGCACTTCGCGCGGGAGCGCGACGCGCCCAAGGCCATCGAGGCGCTCCTCCGGCACCCGGAGACGTCGTTACGATGCGCGCTGAGCGGCGGCGCGTGCACGGAGCGCGCCCTGTCCGCCGCGCTGCCCACGCGCCCCCCCGCGGCGCTCAACGAGGCCTTCGAGCTCGCGCGGCTGCCGCCGGGCGGGCCCATCGCGCGGAAACGGGGGTCGGCGCTCAAGGTCGTGCTGTCTTTACCCGACCCGGACCTCGACCGCGTCCAGGAGGACATGAGCGCTCTATTAAGACGCTGCGTGCCGTCGGCGAACCACGCCTACCCCAAGGAGGTCGTCGTGCTGCTCGGCGACCGCTACGGCGCGGTGACCTACGAGGCCTTCGCGCTCGCCGGCCGCGCCTTCTCCGCGCCCTGCAGAAACCTCGCGCTCGAAGCGCTCGAGGCCTTCCACACCAACGCGTCCCTGCCGGCCGTGAAGCAACAAGTTGCGAAGGCGTTGCTGCGCCACGTCGAGTGCCACCTCGCCGTGCCGCCGCGGCACCGGCAGATCCACGACATCCTCGACGCGTTCGCCGCGACGGGCGCGTACGACGGCGAGGCGGCGCCCTACGCGCCGTCGGAGTCGCTGAGCGAGGGCGTCTTACGGAACGCCATGTACGGCGGCGACGGCCGCGACGCGACGGGCCGGTCCTACCTCATCCTCGTCGCGCGGACGCCGTCGCTGCGGCTCGTCCGCGCGGTGCACTTCACGCTGCGGCTCTTCGCCAAGGTGCCGGGCCGCGACGAGATCTCCTGCGCCTTCCGGCGGCTCACGACGATCCGCGGCGGCAGCAACGACGACGCGGAGACCGTGGAGGCGGCGATCAAGCGCATGGTCGGCGACGCGGCGCTCGACGGCCTGTCGGGCGACGACGCGTACGTGCCGCGGCCCTCGAGCGTCGCGGGCTGGCTCGCGCGGCCGTCGACGGCCGTGCGCGCCTCCGCGGTCTGGCCCTCGGGCCGCGAGACGCGGTGCGCGGTGCGCGACGTGGCGGCGCCGCTGGCGTCGTGCCTCGGCGCGCCCGCGGCCGCGACGTCGGAGCCGCTCGGCGTCACCGTCGACGTCGTCGTCGAGGGTTTGCTCGGCGACGCGTCGGGCGGCCCCCCGGTGCCGCACCAGGCCCTCGTCCTCGAGGCGACGCGCGCGCTCATCGCCGGCGACGCCGTGTCGCGCGTCAAGGCGCTGAAGCGCCTCGAGCTCACGGGGAAAGTGAAAGACGACGCCGCGGCGACGTGCGAGCACGCGTGGCTCGTCTTCTCCATGGCCGTCGGCGTCTTCGACGGCATGCTCGACGAGGCGCAGCGCACCGAGCTCCGGGGCCACGCCTGGCCTTTACTGCTCGACAGCTCCGACGGCCTCTTCCTCGACGCGTGCAAGTCCGTGTCGTTCTTGAAGTTCATCTCGCCGTACCACGACGGCGACCCGACGACGTGGCGCGTCGGCCTGCTCGTGCTCATGAAGGTGCGCCAGCTCGTGCTCTGGGTCACGGAAATGCCCTGCCCCCTCGCACCGACGGACGTCGCCGCGGCGGTGAACGCGATCGTCAACACGGTGGACCGCGCGCACCGGACGAAGCAGCCCGCGCTCGCGCTGCTCCACCTCGCCTTCACCGTGCGCTTCCACGTCTACCAGGCGGAAGCGAAAGCGAAGCCCGACGCGCGCCTGACCATCTTCGGCGCGGGCTTCGCGGCGAAGGAGCAGCGCGCGGACCGCGCGGCCGCGGAGAAGGCGCGCTGGTTCACGGACGCGGCGACGCGGCCCCTCGACATGGGCGGCTACGACGACGACCAGCAGGAAAAGCTGCTGGACCTGTTCCACGGCATTTTGAAGGCCATGGACCAGGCGTCGCCGGCCGTGTCGAAGCTCATGCGGTCGAAGCTGGGAGATCTCGCGGCGACGGCGGACGGCGCGGACGACCTCGCGGCCGCGGCGCTGCGGACGCTCGACGACCCGGCCGTGCGCGCGGCGGACTGCTTCTCCGACGCGTTGTTCGTCGAGATCGCGTCCATCGTGCCGCCCATCGTCGCGTCCATGACCAGGGCGGCGACGGACGGCGAGAGCAGCAACCCGGAGACGGAGCTCCCGCCGAAGCGCGAGGCCGCGAAAAAGAAGAAGAAGCACCGCCGCAAGAAGGCGCCGAGCTCGCCGTCGCTCGAGTCGCTGCCGCCGCCGGAGGTGCGCACGGTCGCGCGCTGCGACGCGGCGCCGGACGACGGCGGCGACGACGACGACGACTACCTCGTCGACGAGGCGCTCGTCGAGGCGGCCGCGCGCGCCATCGCGGCGGCCGACGACACCATCGCCAAGTACGACAACGCCATGGCCGCCTTCGACATGCTCGCCGACGCCGAGGAGGAGGGGCAGAAGTGCGAGGCCGCCGCGTCGGCCCTCGACCGGCTGGCGGACTCGGCGCAGGCCGCGTGCGACGCGCTCAACGACGTCTCCGACGCGTCGAGCGACGCGCCCAAGGAGGCGCCCAAGGCCGACGCCGGGCCCGCGGCGAAGAAGAAGCGCCGGCGCAAGAAGGCGGCGGCCAAGGGGGAGACGGAGCCCGCCGCGGCGCCCGCCGCGGTGCCGGCGGCAGCCGCGGAGGCGGCGCCCGCGGCGGAGGCGGCGCCCGCGGCGGAGCCCGCGGCGGCGCCCGCGGACGACGCGGCGCCCGCGGACGACGCGGCGCCCGTCGA